ATCACTTGTTCATCTTACACCCAACAAAAAATAGAATTCACGGACTTGTAAACATTTTTCAATTTATTCAACTAAACATGATTCGTCAAAGGAAAAATAACAACAATTTATTAAAGAACAACTTTCACATATAGCAAACGAAAAAAATCATATTTCTATGTTGTAGCTATAGTTTGCATTATTGTGCTCCATAAACAAATTTTATATTTGTTATGGAGCTTTTGATTTATATTTCGCTAGATACATCCAGTTCTATACAAATTGTTCAATTTTGTATAAATTGATTTATACATTGTAATTTATATAATTATAAGTGTATAGGACGAAAATGTATGTATTTGTATTTGTATATATATATTTTTCTCTCTTTTTACAAACACAAATGCATATCATACATTTTATATCAAAATGTATAAAATGACTAATTGTATATCAAAAATAACTAATCGTATACTGAAACAGATGACCAAAAAAAGGAATATATGTTGCGAATTACAGATAAAATAAATTGTGACTATAACATTTAATTTAAATTAATAATTTGCTATTTCATACAATTTTTCCTTTATTCTACTATACATGATTCATCAAAGGAAAAATAAAAATACCAGTGTTATCATACATATAGGGATGGTATAATAATATAAAATATTATTGGTCAAAAGTTGATATAAGAAAAGATGAAAGTTAGAAATAATTAATCTAATAACTATGAAATTCATAATGTCATAATTAAAATGTAAAGGAGTGTAAATAACACTAGCAATAATTAAGATTATTTATAATGTTATAACTAAATAACTAATCCCAATAGCTAAATTTCTAATAAATCTTTTACTTAAATAAATAGGAGTCTTAATTGAGGTTACTTTTTTTTTTTATAGTTATTAGATTTTGATTCTGAGGACAAATATAAATGTTTATTCCATATTACATAAGACAAAATTTATTTTTTAAATGAAATTTTTTAGATGATTCATATATATTCACACATTTTTACATATGTTTGTGGTTTTTTTTTAAAAAAAAAACTCTAAATATTTTAAAATAATCTATTTTAAAGTTAGAATATCTTGTTAACTTGGTAATACATTGGTGACATATGTAATAGTTTAATTTAAATACAAATATCTATCCAAATATGAATATATATTTGCATTAACGAAAATATTTATTTCATAATAATTAGCTATTAAATAAATAAATAAATTAAATTATTATAAACTTCAACTGCGTTATTCGAACTTTTCTTCATTAAAATACTATACTATTAAGAAAGTCAATCGTTTATATAGTAATAGCTATTTTGAAGCAAACTTTCTAACAATCTAAATCACATAAGTAGTATTGATAAATAAAGTCAATCTTTTGTCTTGAGCATTAGAAAAAAAAACTGTGACAGTTCTCTAAATTTTGCAAAAAAATATTCAGAAGCATATATCAACATCACAACAAAATTGTTAACAAAAACAAATGACTTTAGACTATTTCATGTTAACTTCATACATTGAAACAATACATACTATTATATATATTAAGCAAAAAAAATAATTATCATATCGTCAAAATTATTTTACTCAAGTGCTCGAGGTTATGGAATATACCTTCTTTGGATAGAACGATTTACTTCATCAGTAGTGGTACCTCATATTCTACTAAACATCTAACTTACTCTATGACAACAAATTACATAAAATTTTTAAAAAAATGCAAAAGAAGAAGAGTAGAAGATTAAAAAAATTGTGGTCGAAAAATGATAGGAAACTCCTCTATTTATAGTCAACAAATGATAATATGAACAATTTTTTTTTGGGTCTTACCTGGAATGTCATGACCTTTTCGAAAAGTCACAACCTTTTTGAAAAAAGTCACAACCCATCAAAAAAGTCACAATTTATCAAAAAAAAGTCACACCTTTCAAAAATTTCTTAACTAAATTAGAAATATTATAATAATTTAACATTTAATTTAGGAATAGTACCTGTCAAGAATATCTTTTATTCTGATTTGTACATATTTATAGGATTTGAGTGAAGAATATTAATCGATTTTTGTCAAAAAATTGTTGACTTTGTTGTTTACATCTTTTTTTTTTCTAAGAAATATTATTTTAAAATTGATTCCCGTGCAAAATTACGATGCTTTTGTTTCCTTATGTCCCATTCATTTCGACTTTGTGATTAAATTGAAATATTACTGTTTTTAATGGGCAAAATATTATAGAAGGATTTTTTAAAGCTATATAAATAAACATATTTGAACTAATAACATATTCAAAATCAACTATATATCTTTCCTAAAAAAATAAAAAAATCAACTATATATATGTGTATAGCCTTTTATGTTAATAGGTATATATCTTCATACAAAAAGAATACGGATAAAATAGGGAAATGTTTTCGAAACATAAAGTAATTTTAACTCTTCATGTAACAGCCCTTGATGGACATTTGTAGTATCATTGCAAAATTTGTGCTAAAAATGTTATTATTTTTTAGTGAAAAATGTTTAATGTCTATTTCATAGAAAATTTTAATTAAATTGTTGAGAATTAAAAAATAGTACTTCTCGCTATTTTAATGAGAATATGTTTTCAATTATTCATTTTTTCAGTGAAATGCTTCAATGGGAAATGCGTGAAAAAATTAGGTTCTATAATACAAATTTCTCACTGATTTATGGTGGAAATTTTTTCATTTCTAATAGCTTTTATTTTTTTTTAAATTTCTTTTCAATCATAAACGAAGAGTTAACAAAACAAATATCACATAGAAGAGTTCAAACTCATCTCTTAATGAAAATCATGATAAATTATTTTGGATCGACTTGACATAAAAATTGTGACATGAAAGATACAACTTATTTAATAGGTTTTTGGAAATTAAACATGAAAAGTTGAAAAATATGATGTTTGTTTAAATAAAAAATATTTTAAGTGACGATTAAAATACAAATTCAAGTAAACTATTCATGAGAAAAAAATCACTTGAAAAGTTGGTCAAAAACACCTTTTTAAACTTGAATTTCAACTAAAAAAAAAATAATAATTCAAAAAGTAATTTCAAATAAAAATAAACTATTTTTTTCTTCAATTTTTCAAATTTGTGCGACTTCTGTTTACCACTGTCCTCGTTAAAATTGTGACTGGTCTTTTTGGATGATAAAATGAATATAAATTCCACAAAAAAGGTAAAATCAATTAATTAATAATTAAATCCAATATATAAAAAAAAGGAAATAATCTTCAAATGTTAGCCACTGATATTACCAGGTAAGCATGATCATGGGGCTGGTACATGTCTGTTCCTCCCTATCCTTAAGTTTAAGGTGATTTTTTTTTTTCTTTTCAGACAGTGACCTGGTATAGATTTGAATACTTCTGTCACATACAACTACTAAAATAAATTGAAAAAAAAAGAAAATGAATACCATCCCCAACACACACACATGAGCAAAACTGTCCCCCCCCCCCTCTTCTCTATTTTTGAGTTGAGAATTTTGTGAAATAGAGAAACCCCATCTTCAAAGTTCTCAACTTTTCACTTTCAAGTTCAAGAAAACACCATCTTTAGAGCATTTTCATAAATTGTTTCTAAGATTTTCAAGATTCTTGTTTGTTTTGTAAGTGTTTGGCTTTCTGTGTCAAGATTCTATCAGATCCCTTGTGGATTTCATGGGCTTGTGATCTTTTTATGGTTGTTTAGGTAAGTATATTGCATTTAGTAGCTAGCAACTGCATTTGTTGTGGTTTGTGTTTATAAAATGTTGGTACATTATGTGTGGTATTTAGCTTTGTAAAAATGGGTTTTTGCTGTTTTGGGGTTTTTGGATTTGCTGTGGTGAATCTTGGATTGAGAAAAAGATTGGATCTTTTTACTGGGGTTGGAGATCTAAGTAGAGTAAGTGTCGGTCTACTGATTTTGTCGTTTTCTGGTATTGTATTTGGATTTGGGTTTTTGAGTTCTTTGTTTGTGGTCATTTGCTGAGATTTTGCATAGATGAACTTGAATAGAGTGGAATGGATACCCAAGATCCACATCATAATTGGATTGGATTGTAATTAATGGAAAGGCTTGATTTTTAAGGTGATTTCACCTTGTTTCTCATTTCTGTAGAAATGGTATTGACTTGATGTAAAGCCCGAGTTTTGATTTGTGTGTTGTTAGTCTGTTTGAAGAACAAAGTGATTGGAGTATTAGATGAGAGTTTGTAGTGTTCTACAGTATGAATTTTTTGTAAGTTGAGCTTTTTATGGTTGTAGCATTGCTTTGGTAATCCTCTATATACAATTTGTTTTCTGCTGGATTGGTTGTTTTCTAGAGTATGAAACTCTATATTGTTTGATTATACTTTAAAACACCTGTTTTAATCATGACTCATGAGGGATTTACTGTTTGTGGTTTTGACATGTAGAATTGTGATTGCAAAATTTGAAACATTATAGAGCATGATGGATGTTGTCAATAACATAGCTGTTTCTGGAAATGGGTTGGGCTTTGGAAATGGAGTTCACCAACTTCCAGAAGTTGTTGCTGGCATATCCAATGGGATGCCTCATGCAAGTCCCAGTAATGAAGAATTAGAGAGGAGTTTCCAGAGCACTGTCATATTGACGGATAGTGAAACAGTTGGATCTTCTGTCCAAGAGGTCAGTAATGAAACTACAATTACTGTAGAAAGCAATGCTGGTGTCAGTTCCGAGGTGAGGGAGTTTATCCAGTTTTTACTTACTAAGGACATTTTGAACACCACATCTAGGTAATTGCTTATTTACTTGCAGGAACACGAAGCAAAAGAATCTGATGATGCAACAAACAGTAAAGAGCAAAAGACTCCACCTAGGGCAAGGAATGCTAAGAATTCAGGCCCCCAAAATGGCGTTGCCAAGAAAAGCAAAGATGGAAAAGAGGCATCAAATGGTACCCTTGCCTCCAAACCGCGTCCTAAGCAGTCATCTTCCCTTGATGCAAAGGGTAAATCATTCAGTGACAAGAAAACTGTTGAGTATTATTCAAAACCTGCATTGGCTCATCTAAATGTTGATCGTGCTAAGGTAAATGTCTTAGGTCTAATTTATGACCTGCAGTCCAGAGTAACAGCAATCTGAATTTCAATATTGCAGCTTCATATGCATCTGTTTATTGTCATCAATATCATATTCCTTTTCTGCTGTCTTCTAGCAGCAACCTGGTCATGCTGAAGTAGCAGCATCAGCTTCTCCCAGTGCTGCTCAGTCGGAAGGCCTTAAGTATGTCCGATTTCTATTGTTGTTTCTTACCTATTACTTGGACGAGTCCTATGATAATTGTACTGAGAATGCTTTCAAAACGTGCCAACAATCAATGATAACTTTTCCCCAGTGGTTTGTGAAATATAATTTTGTTATTGCAGGGAAAAAACAAAACTGATGCCTTTGAAGAAAGTGCCCCCTGCTAAAGCTGATGGAAGTGCAGAATCATCTTCGTATCCTAATAAATCTTTCTTTTTTCTTTCACTCCTTAGATTTGAAGTCTTATTTTTAGCATAATAAAAGTCTTTCAGTTTATCCTTGATCACTTCATAGCAGTCCTACTGCTGCATCAGATGCCAAACCTCGCAAAGTAGGTACTCTTCCAACCTACAATATCAGTTTCAAGTGTGATGCAAGAGCTGAGAAAAGGAAAGAGGTTAGCCCTCTGCTTGCATCACTGAAGCTTATAATATATGCTTGACAGTCTTGCACCATGAAGTCAATAAGAACATTTGTCTTGTTATTTGGACAGTTTTACTCCAAGCTTGAAGAAAAAACCCAGGCAAAGGAAGTTGAGAAGAGTAATATGCAAGCCAAGACTAAGGTGTTGTGACACTTCTGCTTCTGGATATCTTGGTGTAGAAAATTTCTTGTTGTAGGGTTATCTTGTAGCATTCCCATTTTATTTTCTTTCATTTCTCTAACAGGAAACTCAGGAAGCTGAGATCAAAATGTTAAGGAAGAGCTTAAAATTTAAAGCGACACCCATGCCAAGCTTTTATCAGGAACCTGCACCTCCAAAGATGGAGTTGAAGAAGGTAATTTTATGCTGTGTTGTATGTTATGATGCCGAAACATACAATCTTGTATGGCATGAAGTGCCTTTTGCTGTTCTTAGACATAGTGTGTTGAATATTTAGTGGTTCTTTGGCTCAAAATGATTTTGTTACCAGAATGATAAATATCATTTGCTTTATCCTGCAAAAAATTAATATATTTAGTGTCAGATGTGGAGCACTGTTTAATTTTTTTGTTTTTGTTTTTTGAAGCTCTAGTAAAATATAGTGAAGGAGTTAGGTTAAAGTTCATCCTTTACCTGATCTTTTGAATGCTTTCAACTTGACACTGAAACTGCATATTCTGTCTATATGTGATGAACTATGAAGAAAGGAATTGCAGTTCTACTGAGCTCTGAAAAGAAACCTTTAGCTGACAATTGTTAAACTGAATATAGCTAGAGTTGGGCGGTTCATTGTCTTGACTTTTAAACCACTATTGGTGCATCTCCCTTGATATATTTATGTGAAATTGCAGTACTACTGAGCTCCTAAAAAAGCGATAGATCAATGTTAAACTGGATATAGATTTGTAGAGTTGGGTGTTTATTTTCTTGATTTTTTTTACCACAAATGGAGTATTGCAATTGATACATTTATTTGAAGATTGACTTTATTGTTAGCTAGTGGAATTTCATCATCATTTCTTGTGATATTTTAAGTGCTTAGCATGATCGGGAAGAAGTGCATAATAAATTTGTCTCTCGGTGAAGTTCCAGTATTATATGTGAAGCTCTACTTTTTGATGCATAATTGGTGTGGCTAATCTTTGACGGAAAAGTCAACAAGAATAAAATCTGAAGATACAGTACCAGAATTGATAGAATAGGTCATAGGTGTGAGATATGATTTTGGTGCTTAAGTAACAATAGAAAAGGATATGAGTCTGGTGTAGAAATTCATGATACTGGAAATCAGGTCAAGCCTTTTCATTTTTCCTGGATGAGTATCAGACAAGGTCAACTTCATTACCTGTTCACTTTAAAAGGTACACTATATGCAAGTTAAATTGTGGAAAAGTTAAGTCTTGGAATCATTCCTCTCTCGTTAGTGTGCCATCTCAACATTGTAAAATTGTTATGGCTCTTATTTGTTAGTGAAATTGTTGGATGGTTGGACCTGATAGATCTTTAGCACTGAAGGGCTGACCTTTTGCTGACACAAATGGAACTATTGTTTTAAGTGCTAGTTTGCAGACGGTTGGGACACAGGCTACTAAGTTTTGGTTTTGTAAGAGGGATGATGTTCATATTTGAAGTGCTACTTTGCTGACTTAGCTGGGCCAAAGGCTGCTAATATGATGTGCGTGGGACCATGTATACACTTAATAGACGATGCATGAAAGAGTAGGTGTAAAGTTGTAAATTCTAGCGGTAGTGTCTAAAGGTACACAATTGCACCTACACGCACACTCAATGATGCTTAGGATCCATGAATCTCGGGCATCTCTTTCCTTTATTTTCTTACATCGATGCCCTTCATGGATGAGACCTTCACAAACACTCGCCGTACTAAGCATGAAGTCAAACTCTCTAATTCTTTTGTCAGTGTATGACTTTTACCCGTTTTGATCTGTTCTTAGTCCTTTCCTAATGAACTGAACCTATTTCAAGGATTTATGTACCTAATTTGGTCCCAAGAGCCTTCTCTCCCTTGGCCCAAACCAGCAGTGAGAGGTTTACGACACATCCTGTACAGAGCCTCATAAGGTGCTATCTAAATACTGGATTAGTGACTCTTATTGTTAGCAAATTCAACGAGATGCAAAGTGGTTAAGCACGATAGAAATGTGAAGAGTACACATGTGGTTCTTGACAGTTCATCATAGGCTAGATATATTCCCGATTCAGTAAATCTAAGACTTGGTAAAATTTCTCTTAGCTTTGGATCATTACTTATTATTTCTTGATAGCACTCTCTTTTGTGCTATAAACACTACATGACGTCCTTAATCACCATAACAACCATAAATTAGAGTTCCTCCATCTACTCTAATTAAGATCAGGAAATATTCTAAGGGTCAAGCAGGCAAATTATGGTCAAAGCTAGCTTTTATTAGTAGGTAGTATGAGAAGATTTAGGAGCTCCCTTCAGGCACTTCACTATTCAGTTGGCAAAGAAATGGAGTTGCGAAACTAGATAGTATGCGGAAGTACTTCTATCTGGTGTCGATCTCTCCAAAGTGTTGAGCAAAAATTATCTGCTCTGAAGGTAAATTCTGGTGTATATGTTTACATCTGCCCCTATTTATCATGTGTATTATATTTTGTATCTATAACATATCTAAAATGAAGAAGAGTCTTGGTATACCTAGTAAAGCTTCTGCCACGTGATCTCTAGGTCACGGGTTTGAGCTGTGGAAACAATCTCTTGTAGAAATGCCGGGTAAGTCTGTGAAGGTCTGGACCCCCGCATAGTGGGAGCTTGGTGTGCCAGGCTGCCCTATACATTAAAATATATCTATCATAACCTAAATTTGATGCCTTACCTTTGCTGGTCATGCTAGGATGGTGGTATGTCATGTTCTTGTGAGTTTTATCTAAATAAATTTTCTAATATTTGCTTTCTTACTTACTATTTTTGTATATGTACAGCTGAAGCCCCTCCTAACGTAGTTTATTCTTCCTGTTTATTTTGAAATTTACTAGTTGCGGTGTTTAATTAACACCTTCTGTCACTATCTTATGATGTTAGATTCCACCAACCAGAGCTAAATCCCCCAAACTTGGGAGGAGAAAGAGCTCGCCCACCAAAGAAAGAATCAATGAGAGTGTCATGCGCCCGGGTAGGTTAAGCTTGGACGAAAATGCATCCCAAAATAACCCAGTCAAAGGGCATTCTCCTCTCATTGTTAAGAAGCCTCAAAGGAAGTCACTTCCAAAGCTGCCATCTGAGAAAACCAACTTATCCAATGAAACAAGAAAGCTTTCCATTCGCAAGTCTAGCTCATCCAAAGAATCAGCTGAAGCTGCATCTCTGCCGAATGCTTTACCCAAGGAAACAAGTGAAGTTTCTTCTCAACCAAATAACCAACACAAGCAAGCTACTGAATTTGATGCAGATGGTCGAGAGTGTGAGGTTGTATCAGTTGTTGAACCGAGCCAGACTGAGACCGGTGTTAAAGCTCAAATAGAGACCAATCTGGTGCAGGAACATGTCACAATCGAGCAGTAGAAGCAACCACTGAAGTTGAATATATACTCATGGAGCAATCTTCATTTGCTCTTTGCCTCAAGTATTGCAAAGGTATGAATGCACTTGATATTGTACTAGGCAAACATCGCCATTTTGTCTATAGTCAGCGCAGCAAGGTTGAATTTGTAGTGGTCTATCTTCTTTCAAGATTGCTGAGTGTGGTCATCAGAAACATGCAGGCTGCTTGCCTCTGTTATCTAAATGTTGAGTAGCCAGAAATCCTTAAGAATTTTTGTCTTTTCTACTAGTCGAGTACTTTGCAGTTGCAGAAAACTTGAGACAGTACTGGCTGCTGAAACTGTTCTGTTGAACCAAATGGTTGTTGCTTGTTTATTAAGGTGTATTTATAAATTACATATACATTACATGATGGAGAGCTTTGTTCAGGTATTATGAATCTTTTCCTCCCTTGAGTCACTCTAGTGTAGTCATCTGATGCATCATGTCCTTATCCTCCGAGTTTTGAGTCGGGCGACCATTTCTCTGTTATAATAAAAAGATCATGTACTGATGAACTTTTGTGTTATGGTCCATTGCAAGTCCCACATTGATACTACAAAGTGTTGATATGGGGTTTATATAGCCTCGGGTCGGTCTCTCCCACCTCAATAGTGTGTTTTGAGGTGTGGTTCTCCCACCCCATGTGATTTCTTTCGACTTGACTGTGCCCCGTAGGCTATATAGGTGTGCACAAGTTGAATCGAACACCATTTGATCACAATTATGGCTTTTTCTACCTAGAGAATTGGCAATAGGATTGATTGACAGATTAAAAATGATTGGACCAAATTGAATAGCTAATAGCAAATTGCTTTTTGTTGGAAATATATTAGTAGCCTATAAGAACAGTCATAATATTAGAGAATGTTTTTGGTAGAGAGGAAAAATATTTAATGAAAAATAAGTGTTAAAAATACTAATAGATGATTCTGATGAATTAAGTTGAAATTGTATTCCTGTTGGTGTGATATTATTGATATGACCATCAATAAGTGATTTTACTATTCAATTAAGCTAGTGATCATTTAAGAATTTTATCCTATAAAAATAAAAAATAAAATAAGGTGAATCTTTAATTTTTTTAATATATAGAGCACAACCAATCCAAATGATTAATATACTTGATCAATTAGTTATCTTCGCATTCCTTTTTCATTGAAAAATATAATTTTCGATACCAATTTAATGATGTGATAGCTGTAAAAAAATTATTTTGTTTAAAACTTACTGTGAATCACCTCTTCTCGTAGCACTTGTGGTGCTTTGATCCAACGTTGACGTACAAGGCAAGCTAAAAAGTTTATCATTCTGAGAGATTTATAACCAATTAAGTTTTCTTCTTTATTTAGTAAACAAAAATGATTTTTCAGTCGCAAAGATTGGACATTTAATTAGAAATTTTGAAATTAAATTCACTGGATATAAAAAGACACAAATCAGATGATATTCCTCTGGCTGAATGCTCTAAAGTGAGACTAAAGGCTTTGACACAAACAACCAATCCATAGTTTGTTGACACAAGCACTAGCACTTCTCTTTTTCAATAGGTATTTTCCCAAGTATCTACATAATAAGCCAGCATGCAATATCTGAAAGGAACAGATTTTTTAATAAACAAGACGAGGACTATGTATGCATAAATTATATATTTATGAGAATTAAATGCCACAACATGCAAAAAAAAATAATCTAACTAGCAATTTCCTCTGAAGGAACAACCCCTTGTATAAAAAGATCAACTTCTCTCTTAGAAATGTCAAGTAAACTAAATAAAAGGGGGCCAATATTTGAGGGTTTACAAAGAACATATAGATATGACACAAGGTGATGTAGCTTGAAAGAGAGTCAACATTATTACACTGACAACAGGTAGAATTGCTTTTACAAAACCTGTATCACCGCAAATTTCACAGTTTTTTCTAGCAAGTACACGTTGAAAACACAAGAAATTTAGAAGTTGACAGAGGACTTAAGATTACCATATGAACAAAATGATATTTAAAGACAAAATGTCATCAACACATAAAGCTAAATCATAATCAACAAAATCAACTCGTATTCGTACTCTCGTCGTTTAAAAAAGAATGACCTTCTTTCCTTTTTAGTCTGTCTAAAAAGAATCACTTCTTTCGTTTTTTGGTAACATTTTAATTTCAACTTTCCACGTGACATATTTAAGACCACAAGATTAAATGACATTTTTATACATTTGACATAACTTTAATTTAGAACCACAAGATTCAAAAGTCTTTTTTTATTTTCTTAAACTCCGTGAAGTCAAACAAGGTCATTCTTTGTTAAAGAAAGGAGTAATATATAACAAAAGCAATCATCGGCGCATTCCAAGTAGTTTATTAAGTTTATTTGTTATTTTTTACTTAAATGTTATACCATTAGACACACTCTAGCTGCCGTTAACATCTTCTCTTGGACAATCTGCTACATAGCAAAAACCTTATACACAAATGAAACCAAACAAGTATCCTTACTTTAAAAAGGCATAATCATCTGCATATACAGGTAAATGTACTACCTAAAAATTCATTGAAAATTAAAAAAAAAACATAGAAATTATAGATGTACTTTGAGAATCACTGCACAAGGTTGTGGATGGCTCAAAATCATTTATAAGCGTTCTCATCACCAAATTTTTGCTACGCATAAACTCCAATAAAGGAATGTATCTCTCAAACCTACATATAATGATAAATTATGATCAATTTCTAGTAAAAACGTTCCTTTGCAAGGGGGGACTTCTACTTTGAAACTCCTTGCCCCTTTACATATGGATATATATAAGGCAGAAGCTGACCTTTCTTTCTCACTTGCAAAAAGATACAATCATATATCTTCTTTACTTGGAATATGGTTGTTGAATATACTTTCCCAAATATCCCCACGGAGAACAAGTTCAAATTTAAGAGTATCAGACAAAAGACCTGAGAACTCATACACCTTACGTCTAACTCTAGAAGGAGTATAAACCTGGATACAATTATTGAGCATCTGAGATACAAATTCCAAAGAACCTAATATGTCAAAACTTCCCCGGAAATGCAAAGAGGGAGAGAGATTAGATCAATTATCATCTAAATAAGCAGTACACATTCATATTATCATTATGTCATATATTCTTCAGTGCTACTCATTATTTTAGCGATACTAATGGTGTACCAACCAGCTTGCATGTACCCCAACTAATTCATTGGGCAAGTTGTCCATCTGACAAGCATATATTGAAACGGTAATGCTTTACAGTTTGAATAGTTCAGATGGGCGCACCATGAGTTGTAGCTGGGATTTAGACTAGAATGTCCAAGTTGTTAGTCCTATGCCATAACCACTAGCGTCTCCTCATGGATCAACATTATGTTGTTGAAAAAATTTATCATAGATGTTGCCGTATTTATCAAGAAGAAAATCACTAATAATAGTTAATCGTTCAGCTGACTACTAGCAAAGATGGATCATCCAAAAACAAACATGAGCTAAATTTGAATTAGTAATAAATGTACACGATGAAGGGTACTTACTTCCAGGAAGGAACTAGAGAAGGATCACAAAGGTATGTCGTAGATGAATTCATTATTCGACTCTTATTCAAATCATCATGACTTGTATGCTAAAGACTGGAAGAACCACCTGAACCTAAAAAATAGGCTACATCAATTGAATTGAAGTACAAAAGTAAAGAAATTTTTTTTATGAAAGCTTTATAGATGTGGATGGTGCAACAGATATTATTTTGAAAGATAATAGAAACTCTAGATATATCAACATCATTCTTAAAAAAAACTACTTAGAGTATATGCTAGAAAATGAAATTTCTGTAAAATAAAGGCATAAGAAGAGGACAAATCAAATCAAGTCATTAATACAAAATATTGTGGAGAACACTTAGCCTTTCGATAATTGAACATTTTTTTCTATGTTCAGTGTTTTTGGAAATTCGAAGATCTTGAGGTTTATTATATCCCGTTGATTCTAAAGGCAAATGCACTTTGCTCTTCGCATGAAAAGTGTTTGAAATTTGAGCTCTAGGCTTGCTAAAAATCCCCCCAGTCATGGTTTCTATGGATTTGGTTGACACAACTCTTGATGATACTGTATTTATCAGTGTAAATACATATTTTTTTTATGCTTGATGACCGACCAAATACTTCTTCAATAAGTAGATATCTCATTTTCCCAGTATGTACCTCCTTTTCTCAATTAATACGATGTCCACGAGGAAACTTACTATGTTTCTTTGGTTGCACAATATTCTGACAAATCTTTTCAAAGACATGTAACTTGGATCCCTCATAATGCACATTTTCTAGTCCACTGGATGAAGACATTATCCCTTTGCTAATGTCTTATTCTTCACTACACCAATCCACTGGTGCATCAGCACAATAGCACAACATGCAATATCTAAAAGGAAGAGAAATAAAACAGAATATTTATAACAAGAAGAGAACCATGTATGCATAAAAGATATAGGCACCGGTTATGAGAATTAACTGCCACAATATGAAAAAAAAGATTAAAAAAGGCAAGCAAAACTGATAATCTAACTAGCAATTTCCTTCGAGAGGAGAAACCACATGTGTTAAAAGATTAACTTCTCTCTTAGAAATGTCAAGTAAACTAAAAAAAGGGTTTGGTATTGGGCCAATGTTTGAGACTTACAAAGAACATATAGATATAACACGGCCATAAAGCTTGAAAGAGAGACATGACTTGAGCTTTTCTAACTGATTGTCCACCTTTTCATGCTACGAAAAGAAAGAGAGAACTTACTGATGCACGTCAACGGTGTTACACTAATAATAGGTACTAATTGTTTTTTCAAAACCCGTGTCACCGTACATTTCACATTTTTTTCTGCAAGTTCACATAGAAAACACAAGATACACTTGATTGGAATTAATATTCCCATATGAACAGAATTATACGCAGAGATAAAATGTTATCAAATACGGAAAGCTAAATCATAATCAGCAAAATCAACTTCTCTTTTCTCTCATAATATATAGTAGAATCATATCCACCAGTGCATTCCATGTATTATATTTAATTTTGTAATTTTTAATTAAATGTTATACCATTAGACAGACTCTAGTTGTTAACATCTTCTTATGGACAATCTGTTATAGAGCAAAAACCTTGACGAACAAATGAAACCAAACAAGTATTCCCACTTTAAAAAGGGATAATCTTCTGCATACACAGATAAATGTATTATTACCTAAATATTCATTGAAAATGAGAAACTAACATAGAAATTATAGACGTACTTTGAGAATCACCGTACATGATTGTAGATGCAAGTATATGGAACTCAACATCATTTATAAGTGTTTTCATCACCAAATTCTTGTTGCACATGAACTGCACTAGAGCAATATATCTTTCAGACCTACATATAATGGGAAATGAGAATCAGTTTCTAGTAAAAACGTTCCTGGCAAAGGGTCACTTCTACATTGCAACCCCTTGCCTTTTTACGGATAGATATATTAAGGCAGAAGCTGACCTTTCTTTCTCACTTGCAAAATAATACAGTCATATCTCTTCTTTACTGGGAATATGGTTGTTGAATAGACTTTCCCAAAAGCACCCTCGAGGAACAAGTTCAAATTTAAGAGTATCAGGCAAAAAACCCTGAGACCTGATACACCTTACATTTAACTTTAGAAGGAGAATAAGCTTGGATACAATTTCTAATCACCTAAGATGTCAAAACTTCCCCTGAAATGCAAAGAGAAGAGATATTAGATCAGTTATCATCTAAATAAGAAGTACATATTCAGATTTATCATTATGTCATATATCTTCATGCCCTACTCATTACTTTAGCTATACTAATGGCACCCCAACCAGCTTGCATGTACCATAACTAATTAATGGGCCACCAGTCCATCCCACCGACACATATGACCACGTTAATTCTTCCCAGTAAGGCTAGAATAGATGGGTGCACCATGTGTTGTAGTTGATATTCAAACCTAGAATATTTCCAAGTTGTTAGTCCTATGCATTAACCACATAGGCATCTCCTCGTAGATCAACATTATGCTACTGACAAAGCGTATTATATATGTTTCCTTACTTATCAATAAAGAAATTACAAAAATTAGGTTAATTAGTCAGTTGATTACTGGAAAAGATGGGCAGACATGAGCTGAATTTGAATTAGTAATAACTATACATGATGAAGGATACTTACTTCTGGGAAGGAACTAGAGCAGGATCACAAGGGTGTGTCATAGATGAATTCATCATTCGACTCTTATTCACGACATCAGGACTCCTTTGCTCCAGACTAGCAGAACTATTCAATCCTAATAAATAGGCTACATCAATTGGATGGAAGCACATGAGTAACAGCGGAGTTCCATATTTCATGATGCTTGATGACGGACCAGGTGCTTCTTCAACAAGTAGATATCTCCTTTTTCCCCAGTTGATACAATGTCCACGAGGAAACTTACTATGTTTCTTTGGTTGCACAGTACTCTAACAAAGCTTTTGAGAGGCATGTAAATTGGATCCCTCATGATGCAGATTTTCTAGACCGCTTGATGAAGATATTCTCCCTTTTCCAATATCCCATTCTTCACAACACCAATCCACTGGTGCATCTAACGTAATAGAATTTTTAACTAAACTAAGTCATTATATAAAATAATTTACCAAAGTAATATATTTTTCAAAAAATTTACAAAACTAGTATAAACGTATTTCATGGTAACGTTTTAGGGTATATTTTATTTTTTAAAAACTAACAGCATTAGGTTGATATACGTCACTGTAAGTAACGTTTTACTCCTAAAACGTTACTGTGAGTAACGTTTTAGGAGTAAAACATTATCGTGAGTAACGGTATATCAATCTGACGCTATCAACTTTAAAAAAATAAAATATATCCTAAAACGTTACTGTGGAATACATTTATACTAGTTTTGTAAAATTTTAGAAAAATATATTATTTTGGTGAATGACTTTATATAATGGCTTAGTTTGGATAAAACCTCCAATATAATAGCCCAGCATGCAATATCTAAATGAAAGATAAAAAGTTGACTATTTTTAAAATAAGAAGAGGACTATGTATGCATAAAAGATATAGACAGTTATTACGAGAATTAAATACCACAACATGCACTAAATATTCAAAAAGGAAAGCAAAACTGATAACCTAACTAGCAATTTCCTTCAAGATGAACTACCCCTTGTGTAAAAAGATCAATCTCTCTTTGAATTGTCAAGTAAACTAAAAAAAAACTTCCCCTAAAACGCAAAGAGGAAGAGAGATTAGATCAATTATTATATGACTAAAATGTACAAACTCAGATAATCATGATCTTGTATATACTTTTAGTGCCCTACTCATTATTTTAGCGATACTAATGGCATCTCAACCAGCTTGCATGTAGCTTTACTAATTCATTTGGCAACTTGTCCATCCCACAAACGCATATTGACATGTTAATGCTTCCCAGTAAGGCTATGTCAAATGGGTGCACCATGTGTTGTAGTTGGGATTCAAATCTAGAATGTCCAAGTTGTTAGTTCTATGCCTTAACCACAAGGATATCTCCTCGTAGATCAACATTATGTTATTGACAAAATGTATTACATATATTTCTGTATTTATCAATAAGGAAATTGCAAAGATAAGTTAATTAGTCAGCTGACTTCTAGAAATGATGGGCATTCAAAACAAACATGAGCTGAATTTGAATAAGCAATAACTATACATGATAGAGGATACTTACTTCTGAGAAGGAACTAGAGCAGGATCACAAGGGTGTGTCATAGATGAATTCATCATTCGACTCTTATTCACAATATCGGGACTCCTTTGCTCCAAACTAGTAGAACCATTCAGACATAAAAAATAGGCTACGTCAATGGGATGGAAGTACAAAAGTATATAAATTTTGCTAAAAATCCCTTGAGTCATGGTTGCCATGAATTTGGTTAACACATCCCTTGAGGAGACCGTATCTATCAGCGGAGATTCATATTTCTTGATGTTTGACGACAGATCAAGTGCTTCTTCAACATGTAGATATCTCATTTTTCTGGTCCGTACCTCTTTTTCCCAGTGAAATTTACTGTGTTTCTTTGGTTGCACAGTACTCTGACAAATCTTTTGAGAGGCATAAAATGTAAATATAATCATCGTGAAAGGCATATATATATATATATATATAAAAGGTACGGATGATCCATCAAGGTTATGTATCTCTTCAGTCCTTTGCATGTTGTATTAATGCACAGTGGATACATTAAAAATTATAACTCTTGTTTCTTCACCTCAACGGATGTATCTAATCTGTAAGAATTTTCTTAACTCATCAATCTCTATCTCAGCCGCTATGCCTGATTTGAGATTCACAAAACAAATATTTTGACCAACAAAAATTTATCACTTTTATCGCGTTCATACATTACCTCACTTTTCCAGATTCCAAAATGTTTCAACAAGATCCATAAGTTCATGTTGTATCAAAATAATTTATCAACAAGTTTAAAAGGTTCTTCGATGAAAAAAGAGAAGAAATTTAGATACATAGCAAATCCAACTTCATGTTTCATTACCTTCCATGTGTTGTACTTTACACTCATTTGAGAGAAAATTATCTTCTACAATGTATCGGATCTCTATTTTTTTTCCCCGATTCATCATTATTCAATTTGTTGCGATGACTGAAATTTTTTCAACAACTATTTCATCACTTATGTATGGTTCATATCTAACATCACTTTTCGAGATTCTTGAATGGCTCAACAAACCCATAATATTCGTTGTGCATCTTATCAAATTTTTGACAAACAGGGAGAAGCAATTTGAATTTCAAAACCCTTCAATGTATAGGGAGAAGCAATATGAATCTTAAATTTGTTGGAATCGTTAAGAATGGTGTCTGTCTGATTGATAGTAAGAAAGAATCAGTTCAATGTGATTATATTCGCGATCTTTTTAGTAAACCCAACCAAATAGTATCAGTTTTCAAATTTTAAAATCAAATCAAACCAAACCAAATATAGAAGAGTAAATAGTATAACCTCAATTTCTTTTAGTAAAATAGAAATTAGAAAAGCTTTTATGCATGTATTTATTTGTTTTTTCTTTTTTAAATTTGAAAATATAAACTAATAAAAATTAAAATATCTTCATTTAACTTTTGGATATCATTTTTTATTTTAATATTTTAGAAGTCCTTATAAAACATCCAATTAATGTGATAAAAACTTGCAGAAACACAATTTGCAGTTGCTGAGAATGATGAGTTATGTGGCTGCTTAATCATAAAGCCCCTCCTGCTCCCACACATCAACAAGAAAGTCTACCATTTCCTGATATATAAAATGCACAACAGTTAGCAACTAGCTACATGTAATATGGAAAGAAAAACTATCTTAGCTAATTCGATAACTTACCGGTAGAGGGATTGGCTGAGGGAAAAGCTTATTAGTCCCTAGCAACGTTACATAATTTGTATCCGAACTGCAATTTATGATGGCAGAATGAACTTGTCACACATGTATGTAATCCAGCATAATGCGCGATAGTTGAAAACAGTTAACAGCAAAAATCACCCCAAGTCAAAAGACACGGTATCAAAACTATGGCCTGCACGCCTTTTCCCTTGTCTTTCTACCATCAGTTAATTTTTCCCTTTACTCAAAGAACTATTCATGCTTACACCTCCAAAAATGTGAGAAACTTACCTTAATTTGGGTTCTCGAACTGAGGCACCCTTCTGTGGTGTTTTATTTCCACACCATTGTTGCCTCGTTTGATTCCAAAGAAGTAGACCTGTTCCAGGTAATGTTTAATTCAATGATACGACAAAGAAAATACAGAAAGGAGTTTAAAACTGAGCTAAAATGAAAAGAACGCCACAAGATCATGCTTTCAAGTTTGTATATGGTCTCTCTATTCTATGCCTCAAATTGTGCATGGGATTTCTGCAAAGCCCATAAGCCATGCCATTCATAGAAAAATGAAAGTTAATCAAGATACCCACCCCCTTTGAAAAAAAACAGAAATCCCAAGTGTTTATGAAATTTTGGGTCGACCCTTTGTAAAAATTCGATGAAATGGGAACATTTGCAATAAAATCCTAATACAAGGGCCCTTTTTTGGCCACATCCAAATGAGGCAGTGGCATGACCAAAAAATGAGACAGTTCGGGGCCCTTTAGATGGACCAAAGTTCAAGAGTGACCCTAGAAAGCAAGTAATTGAAGTTGAGAAACTATCAGATAATTATTTAACCATTTTTGGTAGTGTTCCCAGGAAAGGTTTATCTATCTTACCCATTCGTCATCATGAATCATGTCTCTGTATTTGTGTACAAATACTAAGACGTTGCTGATCCCCATGCAGGTTTACTTGCTACTAGTAAACAATTGGGATGATTTACATCAAAATAAAAGGAGACGAAAGTATGCACTTGCCATGATTTACAAATTCCGAAGTGCTGCTCGTGGTGCCAGAATTACTGTGAGGATCAAGGGCCGGATTAGATGTGCTAATTGATGAGATGCTTCTCTGGGAGGGAAATGTGCTATTCTCCATCTCGCATGCACTACTGCTCCAAAAGTCGTCTCTTAAACTAGTTTTCCTCAATCGTTTGCTCGGAACTTTCAGTCCTTTAGATGGCTTATCCACTGAAACAACATGAGGAGAATTCACACAGCATCCAAGACAACTTCTGCTCTGTTGCAACCAGGTTTATAACCATTGAAATTGATTAGCGGAGCAAAAGTTACAATAAGCTACCCCAACAAAATTCAACATTCTAGGTGCAATTAAGCTACAGATCCATGGACAATCTAATAGGCTTTTTTCTTATTAGGTGTACCCAAATTTGAGAAGTAAAGAAATATAAGCTACAAATGACCATTAAGAAACCATTAGGAACCACAATCGAAGTCAACAATCAGTAATGACAATCACATATTTAAATCCTGGAATCCATGCTTCCACAAATAATCATAAACATTGAGAACTTTAAAATACAGGCGCAAAAGTCAAAGGAGCTAAGCAAAACTGATAACTAACCATTTTCTTAGTTAGTAGTTAATAGCTTCTGAAATATATTAATTAAATAATTCAAAAGCTAGAATCTGTCAAGATTGATGAGCAGCTGGCTGATTCTTACCTATGGAGAGATGCAGAATTTTGGGTAGGTATGTTATAAAGTTAAACGTTAAAAATGGTAGGAAATCCGGAAAACTGGCCATGGAAGATATAATCTGAAAACTAGAGTTGCCTGCTTTACTTGGATCTCTATCCTTGGTTTGTGTTACTCATGACAGTCCATGATGCTTGCTTTACTTGGGTTTTATTATAAGCAGTTGATGCTTACTACATGAAGAAACTTGTGAATCAGTTCATCGCCTACAGCCTAGTTCTCCATTGTAATTTCTCCAGACAGTTCATGATCTGTGTTTCCTGAAATTTTTGGGATTCAAATAATCATGCCAAACAGGCCTTAAACAGTAGCCACAAGCAGACATCAAATATAGGAAGTAGTCTCTACTGTAATGCAGTACCAGTTGCATTTTCTGAGAATATCTGGCTAGAGAGAAACAATAGATGTTTTTCGGGTAAAAAGGAGCATCTCTTATGTAAAATCTAGATGTTTGAAGAATTTATCTTTGTGGTGTAGCAGTGTAGGGAAAATGTTGTATCTGATAAAGCTACACTGTTAAATCTAT